CCCATCGTCAAACAGCGCTCTTCCCCTCTTTGAAAGCTCCTATCTCAGAAGAAAAGCTGTGTTGTTCGGAAAGGGGTACGTACAAGAGTTTTTCGCCTGTTTTGAAAAGATACCGCAAAAGCTTGCTCCAGTACCGGGCAGAAAGCGTGCTCTGGCGCCAGCCTCTGAAGTGTGCGAACTCTCGAAATTCAAGTAATCGACTCTGTATCCTTCCTTTTTAACGGATTTTTGTTATTTTTATCCTTTTTGGGTCGTACCGGGAACCACTTTCGTAGAGGTGGGGTCGTACACAAAGGAAGGTAGGTCGAAGTGGCCATTTGAAATGAGATGTATACCGACTGGTTGTCTTTGGACAGGGATTACGGAACCGTTTTCCATATCTGCCGATGACCTCCCGGAAGAAAGTTGCGGAGCTTTTTCAGGAGAATACTCACACTCAGTACAAACTAGCGGCGTGGAGCTGTCTTAATCGTGGCAGCGTGAACGAGTGGCTGCGTCGTAGGCCTCACGCATGTATGGTCAAGGGTTTCAAATCCTTGGCGCATGTGCTCTTTTGCATTTTTTTCGACAATGGTCTTTGTGCGCTAGAACATTTGCATAGCTCTTCTGCTTGATAATGCCATGACATAATGTTTATGAAGGAATGGAGTCATATTCCATACATTTACGATCTATAAACAGACATGGTAATCTAATTCGAAATGATGGGAACAAAAAAGGTCTTCGCAGTGAGAGCAACGGATAGAAAACATCTTCTCGATCTGCAAGGTAACAGTCACAGTGCAGGGCCCTTTCAGAGCGAACTCATGCGTTGGAATGTAGTCTTATTGCGGAAAATAAGCTCATCAAAGCAAAAAAAGATGAAATCAACAGCCGAAAGTGTTCGTCGAGGAAGCTAGACTATGGCTCCATTCCTTCGGAAACATTACGTCACGGCATTATCAGGCGCAAGAGTTTAGCAAAAATGTTTTCTAATGCTAAGAGACCGTTGTCGAAAAATATGCAAAGGAGCACATGCATCAACAATTCAAACCCTTGACCATACATGCGTGAACACTACGACGGAACCCCTCGGCCACGCTGCCACGACCGAGACAGCCTCACGCCGGGAATCCGTGTGTGAGTTTGCTCCCCCTGAAATAGTTCCGTAACTTTCTTCTGGGAGCATATTGGAGCCGGTCTTCGTAATCCGCGTCCGAAGACCCTTCAGTCGGTATACACCTCATTCCAAATGACCACCTTCTATCTACTATCCTTCCCTTGTTAGCAGAGATGTTGCACAACGCCATAGTGTGCACTGGCTACAAGGTCACGCAGCAAGACCGTGCAAAAAATTTCGGTCAAGCACCTAATACAGTCCTCATCATTACGTACTGTCGGGGCGGCACAGCCGCGCTGCACTGTGACGCGACAGCGGCTGCGGCTCGGTGACGGTGAATCAGCTGATTTCGATGGAATTCGGCTGCAAATTCCCACTTTTTCAGCTCTTCAAGCTTCTAAAGTGGAAGGTGAGTTATTCTGACCAATTTTGAATTGTACTGACTCTGAATGAATCTGAAAGAATGTAAAGTCGTTGGAGTA